CGAATTTGAGAGGTAATTTTTCCCAAAGGACTATTTGCAATCACTGTATGCACTAGCGTGGGTAGAAAATGTTATGACAAAATATGAAGGTAAAATTTATAATGGTTTTGCAAGTGAGGTCTACATCAACTATAGTCATGAGTTCTTGAAGGTTTTTACTTGACGAGTGTGTATTTTCCTTGCAATTTTTTTTTCCTTTCTAAAAAAAAAAAAAAAATTACAATCTCTTATGTCAACTAATGAATTTAAAGCAAAATTGTTTGAAACTCATGTGGATCAATCTGATTGGTTGGATGAGAATGTTACCTCGCATTGTGGGGATGATGAGATGGACTTGGATGAGCTTTATAATTTGAAATGTGAGTCATATTGTTCAGAAAGTTTTTTCTCATGGTGGAAGTAAACGACATAGGCGAAAATCTAGGAAGAAGTAATTGGTGGGTTGTCTTTAGCTTTTGGGCCTCATTTGGATGTTTGCAGGTTTTCTCTGGCTGCTCATTTGGTGGTTTGGCTATTCGGGGAGGGAAGTATGGTGCCTCATGGTTGGTTGTTTTAGTTGCCCGCTCTGGGATCAGTTAGTCTTTTTGTTATTTTTTTTGTTCTCCTGTTATATTTTGGCTCCTTTCTGTATTTTGTTTTTTGTAGTTCAGAAACTCAATGGATGTTGTGTATTGATTACTGTTGGTTACTGCCTCATTGGGGGGTCTTGCTTTTTGGCCTTGTTTTGTTTCTCGTTCATTTATTATAATTAGTTTGAATCTAAGACTCGTAGGTTTTGCTTCAAATGTTGTATTTTAGAGGGCTTTAGATTCTTTAAGGTCGTGTATTCTTGCTTTTAATTAACGTGTATGCTCCTTTTGTGAGTTTTATCTACAATTAAAAAGCATTTTATGGCAATCAATGTGGTTCTTAAGGGATTATAGTGATGCTCTTCATCGAGTCACAGGCTACTTAGTCATTTATTAACATATATAGATCTATGAAGTTAATTATTCCTACTTTTATTCTCTTAAGCCACAAGTTCATGTTATGCCAAGTATATTACACTATGATGATGCCCAACTAGATCCATTTCTTGTGAAAATATTGCGTGACAGAGATGATCAAGGCTTGTTATAAGGTGAGATTTTTCAAGCATTTTGGTGAAGGAAGAAAGCAGATGCTTTTATTGGAAGACCAATGAAAGATTTATATATTATTTTGACCAATCTTATTTGTACTGGAGTTTATTTAGTTTTTGGAACACTCATATAGGACGCCATTGTCATAAGCTTATAATCATAGAGTTATGCATAAGTTCATAGGATATAATAATAGTCATATGTAATAGTATAAATAAATAAATAATCATCCACATAGGGCTGTCAAAAACGGGTCACAGGTCGGGTTCGGATCCAACCCGAAATTGACCCGACACTGTTCAACCCGACCCGAACCTAGCAAACGGGTCAGTTTTCCGAACCCGACCCGCTTCGGGTCCGGGTCAACTCGAACCCGACCAACTTCGGGTATATTTTATTTAAATTTTTTTATTTAATTCAATTTATTTAAATCTAAATCAAATTAAGCTAAGATTTACTTCATTTAATTTAAAATAAATCAAGATTAATTTAATTTGGGTAACAATATTTATAATTTTTTGATATATAATTTACTTATTTCATAAAAATCCTTTAAAATCCTCCTAAATTAATTAAAAACGGGTCAAACCGGGTCGATTTCGGGTTTCCGGGTCAAACCGAACCCGACCCGGTTTACAAAAGGGTCGAAATCCTTAACCCGAACCCGACCCGGTTCGGGTTTGGGTTGACCTGTTTAAAGGTCGGTTCGGGTTTGGGTTGACCTGAACCCGAAATTTTCGGATCGGATTCGGGTCGGGTTTTCGGGTCGGGTCAAATATTGACACCTCTACATACACATGAAGACCTCTAAAATGTAGTATGTCAATTTAAGTGTATATAAGGCAATGCAAAGGTAGGTCATTACTATATGCTACACCAAAGTGCCTTTCCAAATACAAAGATCATTGAAAAAATATTTATAGATCAATATTTTGTAGTACGTATCTTAGATATATATATATATATAAAATTTGCCGCAACCTCGCTGCAAAAAAATAGTTGAAAATTTCCTTCGTAAATCTGTCAGTCATTTTAGACAAAAAATAATTCGCCACAAACTGCTGACTTCCCTGTAGTAAGCAAGTCCGATTCGAGAATTTCCCACTTTTGCTTGCATTGTAAAACACATCATTAGAAATTTTGTTCTTGCTTTATCCTTGACTTGGATCTAAACAAGAATTTGATGTCTCATCTTATGAATAATTTTATTTCTTCTCCTTTGAAAGTAAGTATTATTGTCAAAGCAAATTCTTTTACAGTTCCTATGAGCTTATTAGAAGAGCCTATACAGGGTTTTGGTTTATTCTCGACCTATACTTAATGATTGTTATGCTGATGAATTACATGCTATTAACAAGTTCTTTAGATATATTTCTAGTAATGAGAATAATACTAGGGGATGGCTTGCTCCTATTCATCTTATTACTTTATATAAGCATGGGAGACTTGTCTAGGTTGATTATATGCATCACCATGCTATTAATGCAAAGTTGTACACATTCATTATATATGTTTGGCAAAAAGGGTGGTGCAGATAAATCAATTTCGGTGTTTTACAAGCCTCGTCTCTTTCAATTCGTGATCTTATCTTGATTTTTAGTCAATAGATTATTGATGCTTATATTTACATATCTACATAAGTTAAAGAGAGCTTTTAGCCTTTAAATTTTTTATACAAACAAAGATGAGGGATTGTTTATGTAGAAAATATATCCGGGATGATTTTTTTCTTGATACAAATTTCTCTTTGGAATAATATTCCAACCAAACTAAAGTGATTTTGTTTCATTTCTCTTGATGATTGTTACATTTGTTAATAGGAAGCAAAAGGTGAAGAACAAAAGTGGTACTAATTATAACTTTTGTTGACCAAAATCATGCTAAGAAGTTGAGTGTTAAGGGTGATAAGGAATTTTAGAGTCCTTCCCATATGGCCATATGATAAGAAGTATCATAGTTTGTTTGGGAAGATTAAATATAATGATCTATCTCTAGAGTTTTAGCATGCAAGAATTACCCAAATCAATGCATAATTGTTTTTTTTTTTTTTTTTTTTAAGAATATGCAATTGCTACTTGTAATGGATTATACCCCCTTTTAAATAAAAAAATAGTTATATTTAGTTATAAAGAATAATATGACATATCATTTTCTTTTGATATGATGATTGATAAGATATTATTTAGAACAATAAATTTTATTTATTTTTTTCAATCAGCTTATGCACATCCATACTTGAAAATGACAGACTTCATTAAAGAATAAAATATTTCATGAAAAGTAAGATATTTTTATTTGAAACTAAATTACATCTTAAATATAAAATATTTTGCCTAACAAATGAATATGTAAATTCTTTTAATTTCATATAAAATATCTTATTTTCAGGAAAAAAAATATTACTAATTATATTGATAAGGGGAGATGAGTAGTCAAATAATGTATTATTTAACTAATTAAAAATATATATTATATAAGCTTTAAAATTACTATAACACTGAAAAATATTTATGAAGATCTGTCAAACTCCTTATGTTTATGTTTAATTTTTTGCTGCTAGTTGTTGTTCGATCATCATCAAGAGTAGACACAACGTTGCATCAAAATAAATTCTATGACTTTAAACTCTTTCAAAATCCACTGTGTTTTAAGATTTCTGTGCATCTATTTCAGAAATGAAGAAAAAAATAGGAGATGCCAAATCGTAGCATACTTAATGTGATTTTACTAGGTGGTTCAAAATCGGGTCACAGATCGGGTTTGAATAGAATCCGAGTTAACCCGGATTTAAATGGGTCAACCCAAATCCGACCCATTTTTTCAACCGGGTCAACTCCGGGAATCCGAACCCGACCCATTTTGAAATCGGGTTACATCTATCTCTCTTAATATAGGTGGCCGACATTTTATATGACCAAACCCTCTAAGTTGACCTCTGCCTCTCTTAACCATTCATCAAAGTAGGAAAATATTTTGTCGAGAATACCCTCATTTAAATTAATTTGAATGAGTTTTATTTGTTAAATATTTTAAATGAATGTAATTTAAAATTAATTAATGAAATATGCATTATATCTATCACAAAAAATTCCAATATTTAAATTTCCTCCCATCGAAGAATATCAAATACATTTAATCATGTCCTTTATAATTTTCTTTTAGACATTTACGTCAATTAATATAAACTCATACATACATCATATATGCAGAACTCGAATCCCAAATTTTGAGCGATAGTAAACAATCTTGCTACATCCTTTATAATTCTTGTACAACATAAGAACTAAAAATGCCACAAAATTGAATTTAATGTCTGGTAACCTTATTTTTTTTCGAATTATCTTCATTTATAGGCCAAAGATAATCAAGCAAACAAATAAATCATAATCTTCTAAATTTTTTAATAACATATTAAAAATACTGGGCCTTGTTCATTTGTTTGCTCAGCTGAATCCCTTTTCCCATTTCGGATTAGTAGTATCATAACCAATTTATAAGGCTAATGGAAAAAAAAAAAGAAAAAAGAAAAGTATTGATTATGAAAAAAAAAAATCTTTTGTCACAAGAAGACATGTTATTTTAACAAACCAAACTATTAATATAAATTATTTTCTTGACAAAATTGAACAAATAAAATCTACAATTAGATCATATGAATGTATTGTAACAGCTTGACGTAAATAATACTAAGAATTTTATGGATAAAAAACGTCAAAATTGTAAAAACTATTGATTTAGGTTTTATTTGGGACAATTTTCTTACTACTTTTTAAAATAATTTTCTAGTAAAAAATTTTAATATAATAAAATTTTGAATTAAAAAATTACTTTAAAAAATTGTAAGAAAACGTCTCGGATCAAGCCTTAGTTTTTTTTTAAAAAAAATTTAAATGAGCTTTTTATCAATCTATTTGTACAGGAGGTTGTAGGCTGGTAAATCCTGAATTCGATGGACGTCTTCCAGACGGAGTTCTCTTTCCAATTGAATCCTCGTAGCCTGTAACACCTCCTGCGAAGAATAAATAATCAAAGTATTATTAAATGAAAGGTTTGTTGAGAGAGGAATACCGAGTAATTGAATTACATTGTAAAAATAATAGAATTATTTGATTGGCTAAAAAAAAAAAACAGTGTAAAAGAAATATATGGTGAATATATAATATAAAAAGAATACTATAGAATTGTTTGAATGAGTGTACAATAATTGTATTAGATTACTTTTTTTGTGTTTGGGTTTAAAGTAAAAATGAGTGCAATGTAAAGTCTAGAGAAGATGGTGGGTGGCGGAGATTGATGATGGTGGCCGGCATTGTTTGAAGGTGGGCGGCAGTAGTCGGTGTTATTTGACGGATGGTGGTGGGTGGTGGCTATGGCAGCCAATTCTTAGCAGCGGTGGTGGTGGCGGCCGATAGTGGGTGGTGGTTGCGACAGCTAGACCGATGGTGGTGGCAGTTGTGGTTTGTAGTCGACAATGATGGTAGCTAGCGGTCAGTGGCAGTAGGGTTGACGAGCGACGGTGGGTGATGGCAACTAGTGGTGGTCAGAGGCCGACGGTAACCAGCGGTGGTCGGCGACATCACTGGGGGTAGGCAGGGGGCGGTGACAATAATAAAAAATATATGGTGTATTTGGAACTAGTTTGAATATGAGGAATTTAAAGTGTATTTGAAAATCAGACAAATAGCCACTAAGCAAAAGTAGAAATCAAAAGGCACTGGAGGGATAGGATCGGATATACATTGAACTGTAAGTAGGAAGCACGCATAGCCAACCATTGTGCATCCATCATCTGAAATGCTATACAGTATAATACATCAAAGGCTTCTTCATCTTCTGCTAACAAGGAAAAAGAAGAACTTTGGGAAATATGATCAGATGATTCAGATTAGCATATAAAAATAAATAAAAGTCAACAAGAACTTGAAATTCTTCCTGACCTGAGAGAATTCTTATAAAATTTGCTCCTCGAAGATTTTTTGGCTTTTCTGTGATAGGATTAAGATAGATTCCAAATGAGTAAAAGTTTAACTCATATCATTGAATTGAGAGAGAAAAGTTTAGAGATGAAAAGGACTTCTTTTACTTTATTCATTCTATTTCATTAAAGAAAAGGCTCTTCTCCAAAATTACCAACTATAAAAGTAACAAAATTTTATCAAATTTTTATAATGAAAATTTCCAAATAAGATGTAATACTCTGGTCGAAGCACTAGGCCATAATTGGGTTGTAAATACAATGGTACAGTTTATGTATTTGTTCGTATTTCAACATTTCTTAAGGTTCGCCACATCATTTTCTGCTTCAATTTTATCATTAATATTTCGGATATTACCCACTCTACACATTAAAATGATATGGTATCCATCTCTACTGACCTGAATAAAGATCTAACATTTGGATCAGCATAAAAGAAATATTGATGCCAGCAACAGCAAATGGGTACTCCCATGCAGCTCGTATACCTTCTTGCTTGAACAAAATCCTTCGAAAAGAAGCCTTTGATTTGGATTTATTGCGATGTTAGGTATAAAATAACAGAATATCATAAAAATATATTAGAATCATGTGTTTGGGCAAAATAAATACTGTATAAAATTATAAAGAAGGTCTATATGTTATCAAAATAATTTCTTACCGGATAAGTTCTTGCAAAAAATAAAAGATTCTCAAGGGAAATAAATCCACAGCCCCTGAAATTTATTCAAAAGAAGAATGTGATCATCACATACGAAATTCTATAACAAAGATATTGCAAATAGTTGTGAAAAAACAATATTAGTAACCAGAAATTAACTAATTTGCAGAAAGATTAGTCGCCATGCTCAACATGCTCTCAAATTTTGGATGGTGAGTAGATAGAGAGGAAGGTTTTATAAATCAAAGACAAGCTACAATACAACATATATGTTGGACAAATATATCTATCAAAATCAAATTCTGTTTTACACAACTCTCACATTCTTCAACGTTTCATGCTTTACAATATCATGACAAATATTAGTTCTCGAACTTAGATAGACTACTACTATTAGCTATCAAACACGAACATATAATTATGTGCCCTAGGTAAGTAAGGTTCAATATGTTCAAGAATAGTTTAGTTCTCCTTATTCATATTGTGCCATGGTTATGACTCGAGTTAGTGGGTATGTTTTATGGACTAAATTATACCATCAATAGACTAAGTCGTCCAAAGTTTTAGCATCATAAGAAAGGAAATTAGAATACTATTTGAACGCTACAAGTATATGATGTAATGCCCAAAGGAGTATTTGTAACGTTTCATGCTTTACAATATCATGACAAATATTAGTTCTCGAACTTAGATAGACTACTACTATTAGCTATCAAACACGAACATATAATTATGTGCCCTAGGTAAGTAAGGTTCAATATGTTCAAGAATAGTTTAGTTCTCCTTATTCATATTGTGCCATGGTTATGACTCGAGTTAGTGGGTATGTTTTATGGACTAAATTATACCATCAATAGACTAAGTCGTCCAAAGTTTTAGCATCATAAGAAAGGAAATTAGAATACTATTTGAACGCTACAAGTATATGATGTAATGCCCAAAGGAGTATTTGTAATAAAAAATATATATTTAAGAAAAATATTAGTACCCAAATATTTAATTTTCATCACAGACGTATAAAACAATTGAAAGAAACTAGAATCTATTTTTTACCTGAAGTCAGTTGATGGGTTCGCACCCTGCCACCCCATATCTTTCCATTGCTCAGAGACAAGACCTGTAAGGTTTGTCTCTGGAAAAGAAGCATTCCACAAGGCTTTGAGGGCATCCTTCCAAATAAGAAAGCGAAAAATAAGAAAATTATGACGTAGGATACAATGAAGCTATATGTCTTTTTTTTGGACATTTAGGCCAATTAAAGTAGACTCATACACATAACACATATAAAACTCGAACTCAAGATCTCTTAGTTGATAGCCTAAGCTCCCAATCAACAAATCAAGATGAGCTGTATTTCTCAAAACCACATAAACAAATTAGCTAGTACCCAAGCTTTCCTCAACAGTTCTTTAAAGACTAGGGAGGGTTGTAGAATGTCCTATCTTTTGTAGACTATTGGGTTCTTTAAATACTGTTGGGAATTTCTTAACATTCAACATCTTTAGAAATAAAAAATGTTCAATGTATATTTATACAATGGTACGGCATCGGTGGGTTTTGTTTTATTTTTTATTTACAACCAGATTCCAGTTGGAGACACTATGGATTTGACATCCGTAGAATACTTCAAAGAGTTCTAATTTATATGGATGGTTATTAAAATATTCGTGCTACTTAAAAGAAGCAACAGGAATAGAAAATTGTTAAGTGTACAGGAAGAGGTAATGAGAGAGGGCAGACATGCTAAAGAATTAGATTGGAAAGTTATAATAGAATCACAACTAATATCTACATTTGTTAAAATTGTTATTCATGAGCGTATTGTTAGATACAACTGCTACAATATTGTAATATCCACGACTAATACTGCAATTCAAGTTTCCTTTTACTTCATCAGATTAAGAATTGAAATTGAAAAATAGTAAGATTTTCACACCATTGTTAAGTTATGGAAGTCAAAATATTCTATTGTGAGTTGATGCAACATTAGAAGGATAAACATATTTAAATGAAATATACTTGATGATCAGGCCTAGTCTCATCAAAAGGGACGTTCAATCTGTCCTTGAGCCTCTGCAGCCTTTGTTCCTGCAAGAAACCAGATGTAAGAGCATTACTCAAACGAAGAAACATAAAGAGTTTCCCTTATCCCAAACTTGGTTAAACATAAGAAAAAATCTTTCATTACAAGCAAATTACATTTTCATTGATATTCCATAAAATCAAGTTTGTAAGAAAAAAATTATTTTAGGATAGGTTGTCAATGAAAAACTAAAAGAAAAGAGTACATCCTAATCCATTTTGTTAATAAGGAAACATACTCCATGATTAATCATCATCATCATCATTAACTATGAATTGTCTTTCATTCACTCCTATTTAATGATACATGAGATGCTAAATCTATTTTGTTTCTTTTTTCCTGAACTAGTTATGGCCATGTACCATTGATCCAACCCTTTTCTTTCTGATCCAAGCACATTAACTTTATTTACCCAAATTATTGCTGCCTCTTTAAGCCTCTTCTGTAAATGCACAGATCAACTAATTCTATTCTCCTCTAATTATTTTATCAAGTTCTAACCGTAAGGTCACTCTAATCTAGTCTTTTATCACTCCATTGTTTAGCTCTATCATAATCTATATTATATTCTCATATATGCTATGATTGTAAGTGACTTCTTATGATCTTATTCCAAGGCATAAGAAAGTAAGCGCTGAAAAACACTTCAAAAGTGCATCTAAAATATCTTTTTTCAGATCAGCAAGCTGCAGCCACCTGGAATGTATTACCCAAGCTTCTTACTTCAACTCACTAACAATTTACTGTATTGTTTAAAGCATATTTTTGGTTGGTGTAGCTAACTTAGCATTGTGGAAAGATGTGTAAATGAGAAACTCATTACAAAGGAATGAACAGAAGGAAATAGATAAATTAAGAAATGATGTATATTATAATTGCATGGAAAGCTTTTGATTTAAAGTTTACAATAAAATAATCTTGCAAAAATCTATGAAGCACAAGCTGATAGCATTTTGCATGTCTCTATTAAAATATCTAGAAAGGAAATCAAATGAATACGTTACATAAATGGGAAGAGAAGAAAAAACTTACAAAGTTAACCAAAACAAACTACTTGAAGATTACCTGGAGAGGGGTGAGAGGATACCCGTTGGTCTTTTCATAATTACCACAACGTTTATGGCTATTTCGATAAAACAATCCTCCAAACCATGCGCGTGGTCCAACCATATCATTAGTTGTCAGTGGCGGAGTCAAGATCCTGAGTTAGCGAGGTAAAATAACATCATATTACATTATTTTTTAACACAATTATTATAAATTCTAATCGCAAAAGTACATAAATCAATGACTACTCAATCTTTCTATTTCTTTCACCAATTTCTCATCCTATAAATTAAGGTTAAAGATCCTCTAAACGTTGAAAAAAATTAAATAAACAAGCATATATAAATATATATATATATATATATATATAATATCTAAAATAATCAAGTAATAATATATGGCTTCAATGCCTATGCGCTTGCCAATTATGGAGAACTGATGGATATTTGTTTAAACAAGAAACAATTAAAGTTATAAGTTATAATAACATTTATTTTAAAACATGACTGCAGATTAATTTTTAATCGTATTTTTCTTATTTTATCAAAAAATTGAACAACACTTTTGATATTAAATCACAATTTTTTAAACAAATGTTATGACTGCTTTGCTGCTAAACATTTTAGGCATAACTCTTTAATGTAAAAGTGTTATTAAATAGTAATCTTAAATCACAAAAAATTGTTGTCATGCATGCATTAGAAATGAGTTTAAGAGATATCAAGCGTGACAAAAAGATTTCCTTTGACATTTTCTTAAAATATGATTAAAATTAAATAAAGCTGTTTTAAGTATCACTATAACTAAACATTTTAACACATATTAATTATGAATATTTATACTATTAATGCAAGGCACTCATGATTAGAATTTCTTAATACAATTAATATAATATATAGTGCACTTCCATGTAAAGGAAAATAAAAGATGCACAAATTACTAGCTACCAGTTAAGCCAACAACCCACTTTTTGTAATTGAAAATAAATTTCCAAGGCAAAAAAAATCATGTCACAAAGGATGACTTTCCCCAAAATCAAGTAGTGTACTAATGCTACACTAAAATTATGCACCAAACTTGCACTTATAAGATTAAAAACTAGAAACAATAGTTGGGACTGCAAAGGAGAAGATTACCATAGTTGTCAAAAAAATTGATATATGTGAAGTTCATTGAATTAGTGGGTTCAATTCCACCCCATGCTAGCTGTAATGTACATAAAGGCCGTGCTAGCTGTAAGTTCATTAAATGAGTACAGCACATGATCATGCTTACATCAGCAGCTTTTCAATGTTAGAATTATTAAATTCTAAACGTTGTTTTCACTTTCCCTGTTTTTCCAGAAAATGAGCACACACACATGCAGAAAAGGGAAGAGAGAGAGAGAGAGAGAGAGAGAGAGAGAAACTGACCTTGCATCACTGCTAGTAAATCTATTGTCAAAATGCTGGATATAGAACAAAAAAGGAAGAGTTGCTGAAATATGAAAATGAAAATTCTCTTTTTAATTAAAGGAAAACTTATATATAGATGAATTATAGAGGTTGAACGTCTCATAATGTTATAGATATATCACATCAAATATGAAAAGACAAACGATCAAGTGCAACACATGATCATACTTACATTAGCAGCTCTTCAATGTTGGAATTATAAAATTTTAAACGTTGTTTTCACTTTCCCTGTTTTTCCAGAAAATGAGCACACACATGGAGAAAAGAAGAGAGCGAGAGAGAGGAGATTCAGGATCTTGCATCACTGCTACTAAATTTATTGTTAAAATGTTGGATATAGAACAAAAAAGGAATATTTACTGAAATATGAACATGAAAATACTAAATAAATGAACAATAACATGAAGTTTTGATAACTAGAAGTTGACGAAAATTTCTCTTTTTTTATGCTAGGAGTATAACAAAGAAATAGGGGCGCCATGGAGAATTTTAATTACCACATATAGTGCCCAGAGAAACATTTAGCAGGAGATGTGGGCTATCACGCCAGTAAAGTTGAGCATCCATACAAGTGAACCTTTCCAATCTGCCACAGTTTCCACGTTGATCGAGGACCCATCATTTTCATCTACCTAGCAAGTCAGGGCACGAGAATATTAGAAAACAACGGTAAGTAGGTTGGTTGGTAGTCGAGTAGGGGGAGGTGAGCACCAGCAGTAAATGGTCTAGTTCTCATTTCCAAGTTGTGCCCCTGCCAAAATGAATTTCCCTATGTCAACATCTGGCTTAAGCAGGATTTTTTTGGGGGGGAGGGGAACGGTTGGCAATAAATCACAAATATGACTTGAGCTTGTGACCTTGGAGATTTAACCCAAGCTTCGTCTCTCAAGCTTACGATGTAAGTTAAGCTTAATTATGTTAAATATGAAATAATTAATAAATAAATAATTAGTCTGGAATCAATAATTAACTATTTATATAGAGTAACTAATGATTACATAGGGTTTTTATTAAGATAATTAAGTATGTACTAATATTAAGTTATAAAAGATAAATAATAATAAATCAATTATTTATTCGATTTCTCATAATTAAAAAATTAGTTAAGATAATTAAGATAAATAGATAGGGGATACTGAATTAATCACTTAATTACTCATAGTAAAAAGCTAAATATGATTAATTGGTATTTAAGTATTCATATTTAATTATAAATTACAATACTATTTATATTAAGCAAGTGGGCTTAAATTAAAATACATCTAAATAATATTCTCAACTTATATTTACTTGACATCTCATGTCTTACCAACCAAACAGTTTAACTTCGCTTAAATTTTTAGCTTAACTTTAGCCTCATTCTAATATGCCCTTAGTATTAAACACCACAAACACTTTTCAGTCAATCACGAAGCAAAGAAACTGTAAGAAAATGTGTCTAGATATCTGATTTTGAGGCATAATATCTTTTTTATTCCTTAATTATTTGTTATGCCACCAAGAAAAGTAGGTGGCAGGCATAAAGGGGCATAAATTAAAGAATCTTACAGAACATAAGAAAACAGTAGGCAAAATTAGTCCTTGATCGGCTTAATTATTTAATTGATAGATTAAATTGGATGAATAAATATTTTAAGCACCAACAATCACCTTATATATCTTTGAAGCGTTGATTAGTGGGATTGAAAAAAAAAACATATGACATCCAAGGTAATTCCGTACACTCACCAAAATAGTTTGGTTAGTCGAATAATTAAATCCTCGGAAAACTATACATTGATATAAACTTTGCAATCTCCCTCGCCAGCTTAAATTTAATTCAACGAAACCAAGCTTTGAATAACTTTTAGAAAATTATACAATAGCACAAAACAAAGATGTATAGTTTAATAGTATTTATCTTAATAGGAATAATTGTTGATATAAATTAACCCATAAGTAGTGCAATTCTCAATGCTTTGAAAATCATTGAACCAATGAGCAAAATAATCGAATATATTAGAGTGATCTAAATTTGAATAAAAATCAACATAACTTCATAACCTAATGAAATTCATAAGAAGTTGAGAAAATAAAAATTTTGCAGCATTCAATCAATAATTAGCAGAGAAATAGGGCATTAAGAAATTAATTCAGGGTGAAAACTGAAAAGATTAGTACTTACATAGTAGACAATTTAGAATACTGCTAAAATTTGATGCTCATTTCTTAATATTTCTAGAGTATTATACGCATAATAAAATCTTGATTAATTTAGAAGCTTCTAGAATATTTGTAATAAATAAAGAAGACACTATAGCAATATTACTAGAAGGATCTATGATATTTGTAATAAATAAAGTAGACTCAAGAATTGTAATGTTATGGAAGTCTCTGGATTTAGTTTTCATACCTATAAATATGTAATGTCATGATGTTATAAGCTAAACTGAAAACTACACATCAAAAATTTAATAATAAAATTCTTCTATGCTCCCATCCAAAATTCTCTATAAGCAATTGCTTACCTATCTAGGTTTCTTCCAACATTCGATATAAGAGCCTCACTTGATCGCTCATTGGGCGCTATAGAAATATTGTATAAAATCCAATGAAAACTCCAACCGATCTACTATCCTGATTCCAATCTTTAACGGAGAAAACTATGATTTTCGGTCCATCAAAATGAAAACATGTTTTCGCTCCCAAAATTTGTGGAAGATCATTGAAGAATGATTCAATACTCCACAAGATTCAACGACTCTTTCGGCAAATCAAAAGAAGATGCTTGAAGAGAATAAACAAAAGGATTCTCAAGCATTATTTACTTTACATCAAGCAATGACATATGACATCTTTCCATGAATCATGGGCTTAACGACTGCTAAACAAACATGAGATACATTATAGGAGTTTCAAGGAACAAGAAAGGTATGCGCCATCAAGCAACATAATCTAAAATGAGTTTTGGGAATATTAAAATGAATGATGATAAGACCGCAAAAGATTATTACTCTAGAATAAAAGAAATAGTTAACCAAATGAGAGCCTATGGAGCTGAAATTTCTGATAAGGAAATAGTTCAAAAGATATTATTTCTTGTATATTAAAATTTGATACAATAACTTACAAAATTGAAGAATAAAAGGATATAGAAGCCTTATCACCAATAGAATTAATGGGCTCTCTTTAAGCACATGAAGAAAGATTGAATAGGCGGAATGAGATCTCTATAGAAAATGGATCTCAATCTAAAACAAATCCACTGTCTCATAAATCAATATAAGTTGGGAGAAATTCACAAGCAATTGCTAAAGATAAAAACAATCAAAGAAAATGTGACAAGTATTCTCCATGTGACATTTGCAAAAGAAAAGTCAGTTAAAGAATGATCGTTGGTTTAAAGGAAAACCACAATGCTAAAACTAAAAAAAAATTGGACATATAAAAAGTGCTCATCGATTGAAGACAAACCATCAGGATAATTTTTTAGAAGAGAAAAATGATGATAAAAATCGCTTCTATACTTGTCAATTTGCATTAGAAGAGAATAAAGATACTTGGTATCATGATAGTGGTTGTAGTAACCACATGATGAAAAATGAGATTATATTTTGTAGTCTTGATAAAATTAAGGCAAAGGTTAAAATTGGAAATGATGAGTTTATGGAGGCAAAAGGCAAAGACATTATTGCCATTGACACAAAAAAAGGGAAGAGCTACATCAATGATGTACTTTGATTTTGAACATTGATCAAAATCTAGTAGCGTGGGCCAAATGACGGAGAAAGGATATTCTTCATACTTTGAGAGAGATATTTGTACAAATTTATGACAAGCAAGATAAATCCCTTGAAATAGCAAAGATCAAAACGAAAGAGAACGAGTATTTTCCTATCCAGTGGAGATATATAAATGAAGTGACAATGAAAGCACAAATGAAAGAGTTATTTTTATGATACAAACCGCTAGGACATTTCAATTTTCATGGGTTGAAGATTCTCCACCAGAAGAATATGATAAGAAATTTCCCAATAATAAAGGAGATCGATGGTGCTGGTGAAGGATGCTTGCTCGGTAAACAACATCGACAACCATTTCTATTAGGCAAAGCATGGAGAGCTAAGGAGTCACAAGAGCTTATTCACACAGAAGTTTGTGGGCCGATGCATACTCCTTCACTTGAGCAAAATAGGTACTTCATTCTTTTCATTGTTGACTACACGAGAATGACGTGAGTTTACTTCATGCAAGAAAGATCTCAAGTATTTGAGATTTTTTTAAAAATTCAAAACTTATGTTGAAAAGCAAAGAGCCTACCACTTGAAGACACGAAGAAGTGATAGAGGAAAATAATATATCTCAAATTTGTTCTATTAGTATTGAGAAGAATAAGGTGTGGAGCGGCAACTCCTAATTGGTTATACACTAGAGCAAAATGAAGTATCTAAAAGAAAGAATAGGACTGTGATGGAAACTACTAGAGCTATGCTGATGTATAAAAGTCTTCCAAAATGCTTATGTGCTGAGGCCATATATATTGCATTCTTTCTGTAATAGCCTGGGTTTTAATCGAGACAAATAAATTTTTTTAGGAGTCAATATAAGTCAAAATCTCAAACCGTCTTCGATATAACATAGATATTGAGTAACTTAATTGCACCAATTTTTTCATAATTTTTGGACACTAGTGCGAATCCTTAAGAAATTATTACCTATCGGTAAATGTGGGAATTTTGGAACCGTAATGTATCTGTTTTGAAAACCGGTTTTACATAAATTTTTTTAATAAAATGAGCTATTTTATGGATATTTTTCTATAATTTTTGAAGTTCCAAAAAAATTTATATGAATTTTAAATTAAATTTGAATAAATTATATAATTATATTTATACAATAATATCATTTTATTATAAATATAATAAAATATTTACTTATTTTTTAAATCCCATTTCCCTTTAATAAAATCGATTAATAGAGAGCATTTCGAGAATATTAGAGAGAAAATATAGGGGATTTGAAGGCCATAGAGTGATTTTCGCCCATGTCCTATTACAAAATTTGCTTGTCTCATTGTAACGAATCATCATCCTATTTCTAATTTCAATAATTTGATATTTTTAGGCTTTTTCTGATCAAATTTGTAGTTTCATTGTTTTTCAAAAACGAGAATAATTTTGTATTGGTAAAACTTTCACCGCGTAAAGTTTTAAATATTATAGAGATTGAGATTATGAATATTTTGAGCACTTATTAAAAATTTTTTGCTGGTTGATTTTAAAAAAGCAGCAATTTTTATTAATTTGAAAATTTATTTTGACAACAAAAAATAATAATTTTATTCAATTATAGCTTCAGAATATTATTATATATGATTTGTAATAATTTGATTAATTTATGTTCAGTAGAGTTTTTTATTACCTACTGTTAAAATATTTTAGCACTTTCTGAATTAAGCCTAATTATACTTTATTTACTACAATGTATTGAAAATGAGTATGAATATGTGGTTGGGTAATAGTTGGTCACTATTATTATTATAGCACAACGATAATAATGAAGAGGGGGGGGGGGGAGTAAAGGCTGGTAATTTACTAAGTTGGTTGGAGATTGATTGACTTGTATAATATGGTGGGCCAATGGATTTTTCTTAAAATATATGGTTTGATATTATCCTCGACTGATTCGCGTGATATACTGATTGAAAGCTATAAGGAGATGATTACTGTGTTGACGAGTAAAGAGTGACAACATTGCTTACTGAGCCAACAGTTTACTAATGATGATATACTATAAAAAACATATTGCTTAAACCAGGACTTCTTTCTTGTTTAGTGTGACAACTAAAATGCATGTAATAGATATATTCTTACTATATGGCTTTACTGATACTGTATTGGTTTATTATCACTGAACATCTTTACTGTTAATATATTAATTTACTGCTCCTACCATTGGAATGTTACTATTACCGATTTAGACATCGATACTACTGATTTAGTGTATTGATAGTGAGTTTGTAACATATTTAGCACATAATATACTAATTTTATACTGATATAGAATACCTAGATAATATGTATACACTCTTATATGATTTTCCTATATTGATATGATTTCGATAGTCTTTATCAAAGCCTTAATTTTACTATTTTATACGATTATTTTTTTGATTGATAGTACTGATATGACGACTGCTTTATCGATTTGGCACTCATACTAGTTTACTGATTTTTTGGTTTTCCCACCATATTTTTTTACCGGCTTCCTTACCATACTATTTTATCACTTTACAGAGTTTACTGCTACTGCATATGAGTTTTACTGTTTCTGCACCGATTCAATGATCATATGAATGCTACTGTGATGATTTGATCGCTGATATGCATATTGTTCATTTACTGTACTTTGAGTTCAGTTGTAAGTTTTGGTGACCTGTTGGGATTTTAACACATCATATGTGGTTAAATGATTTCAGGTCAGTGCAATGGAGCATAAATGTGAGACTGATCTGGATTCCTAAGATTTTGTTCTTTTTGTTTTAGTTTTTTTTTTATAATCATGATAGAGTAGTTGTGATATAACTGTATAGATTCTGAGTAATATACATGATTTTTGGGAGTAATGATAATTTATATAATATTAAATTTTAGAATTTTTTTTGCTTTTTATTACTAATAGATGAAATTAGATAGCTCTGATTGTTGTCAAATAAAAGATAAAAGAATAATTCTTACAAATTAAATTTTAGGCATAACACTATCTTCTAATAGATGTCCAATTAAGCAGTGAAAGATAAGACACTAGTTGAAGCTTGGAGTGGAAGGAAGCCATCTACAAAGCATCTTAGAGTCTTTGAATATATTTGTTATGTTCATATTCTATAACAAAAGAGAAGTAAATTAGATGAAAAATCAAATAAATGAATTTTCTTAGGTTATAATATTCAATCTAAAGGATATTGAATCTATAACTTAAGAACAAAGAAGCTTATCATTAGCCGAGATGTGAAATTTGACAAAGATGCTACATATAATTGGAAGATAGAGGAAGTTGAAAGAAAAAGTATAAATTTGTTAGTATTAATAGATCAACAAGTTGAAGAGGTCAATGATTCAACTAGATTGCCAACTCAAGAGCCAGTTCAAGTTATAGACTCAAAATCACTGCCTAGAAGAACAAAGCCCTCTAGCGAAGATTTATTGAGTATAGTAATTTGATAATCATAGAGCCAAGCTTTGAAGAAGCCTAAAAAAAATGGAGAAAAGATATGGAAGAAATAATGATGATTGACAAGAAAAAGACATGGGAGCTAGTAGACTCTCCACAAGAAAAAAGAAGTAATTGGAGTAAAATGGGTCTACAAGAAAAATCTCAACCCAGATGAATCAATTCAAAAACATAAAACAAGACTAGATGTTAAGGGATACATACAACAATTTGGAGTTAACTATATGAGACATTTTATCAAGTTGATAGCCTTGAGACAATAAGGGCATTGATAGTATGTCAGCAAAAATGAAGTCAAAGATCTATTAACCAGATGAAAAGTCAACATTCAAGAGATCTATGTAGAACAACTTCGAAGATTTGTTATAAAAGGACAAGAAGACAGTTCTGAAACTAAGAAGCCATTATACAGGTGAAAGCTGGCTCCAAGAGTCTAATATAGCCGAATCAACAACTATTTCCTAGAGCAAGGTTTCAGGAGGAGCAAAAGTGTGCCAAAACTATGTATCAAGACTCGAGGTATAAACAATACACTCATTCTCTCCCTATATGTGGATGATCTAATCTATACAAGAAACAATAAGAGGATGATCGAGAATTTTAAGGAAGATATGATGAAGACATTCGAGATGATCAATTTATCCGATGCACCACTTTCTTGGAATTGAAATAAGTCAGAAAGAAGCACGGGTCTTCATCTCACAAAAGAAGTATACAAAAAGTCTGTTAAAAAAATTAAAGATGAATGGTAGCAAGACAATAGCTACTCAACTAGACAACAAGGTACTCATGAAAGAAGACAATGCACCAAAGGTAGACATTACAATCTATCAAAGTCTCATTGAAAGTATACTTTGTCTAATAGCTATAAGACCAGATATCATATATGCAACAAGTTTACTCTCAAGATTCATGCAAAGTTCAAGCTAAATTCATCGAGGTGCTGCTAAGAGGATCATTGGATATTTGGAAGGAACAAAAGACTATGACATCTTGTATGAATCTACTCTCAGCTCAATTTTACTAGGATATACTGATAGTGATTGAGCAAGATCACTGGATGATATGAAAAGTACATTAGGATATGCATTCATATTAGGCTTTAGAATATTTTCTTAGGGATCAAAGAATCAAGAAACAGTCGCATAATCATCACCTGAAGATGAATATATTGCAGCAGCAATGACTACGAGTCATGTTATATGGCTAAAACACATATTTGAACACGTGAGTCAACTATAAGAAAAAGCAATAAAAATCTATTGCGATAGCAAATCAGCTATTCTAGTGATAAAAAACTTGTATTTCATGGTAGAACCAAACACATTGGCATCAAATATCACTTCATCAGGGAAATTGAGAGCATCCGGGAGATTAAACTCAAGCATTGCAAGAATGAAGAACAATTACCAGACATATTCACAAAAGTATTTCCAAGAGGAAAGTTTGAGCAACTGCGCGACATGATTGGAATTATCAAAATTCACATCGACAAGTGATAAAATTTGATGCACATTTCTCAACATTTCTAAAGTATTCTATACAAAAAAATCTTCGCTAATGTAGAAGATTCTAAAATTTTCATAATAAATAAAGAAAACTCTAGAATTGTTATGTTATAGAAGTTTCTAGATTTAGCTTTCATATTTATAAATAGATAATGTTATGATATTGTATGCCAAGCTGAAAAACTACTCAGCAAAAGTTTAGTAATAAAATCCTTCTATTCTCCCATCCAAAATTCGCCATAGCCCATTGCTTACCTATCTACATTTCTTCCAAAATATTTCCAATAAACACTATGCCTAATAAAAAAATTATCATAAGTTTATAAATTGTTAAGAGTATTATTGCCTGATAAAAAAATCATAATTAATTCATCCTACCTCATATTAATCCAATACACTAACGTAATAGATAACTGTATAGACTCTTATTTAGCCATTTTCCATCCAAATAAAAATTGAATTAATCCCACTAATAAATCAAGCTGCATTAAAAATACTGTAAGAGATCTCTTTAAAACTACATGAATCGATCCGATCCTAGGCTAAACAAGACCTTAGTTGGAAGTTAAATAAGGATTCAATCAGAATAAAGCACCTGATTCACAGTTAATTCAACCATTCCATCTGAACCTAGTTCATCACAACTGTTGTCATAATTTAACTAGAACGAATGGATCTGAAAAAAAAAAAAGAAATTTCACTAGAAAAAAAAAAAAAAAAACAAAACCTGCAATTAGAGACGGTACGGCTGCTGAAGATGCCACAGCAACGACGAGGCCGGAAGCGTCCAAACTCGTCTCCCTTTGTACTCTGAACAATTCTTCGATACAATCAAATCAGAAGCAGAAGGTGAATAGAATCGAAGACAAGGAAATGAATAGGGCTGCGGATGAATCAAGATTTATGGGGCAATTTGAGAGGAAGAAAGAAGCCGATAGCGTAACCTAGCCAACCGCCAATCCGTAGGGTTCGTCCTGGCGTCCCTGTCCAGCTTTTTCTTTTAACTATTTCCATTATAGAACTCGCTGTCCACAAAATAAACGAATCCCGATCACCATGAGTGAGCTGCGGAGATAGACGAAGAGAAAGGGCGGGAGAGCGTCACGCTCCACCGATCGAACTGCCCAATAAACTGCCGAAATATCGGAACAGCGGGGACTGATAATAACTGTATTTTTTTTTGTTAAGAGATATGAATGAAAAATAATTGGCTCAAACAACTTAGCCTATTTATTCACTGGATAATTTTATTTTTTTACATTTGAGATGAATAAAATTTAAGTTCAAGATGATTTTTTTATGATGAGTTTTAAATTATTAAATATATAATTTAATTAGAATTTTATAAAAAAATTAAATTTTTCTTAGGATTTTGGGGCAACATTTTTATTACTTTATAAAACAATTTTGTAACATAAAAATTTTTAGTTAAAAAAATTGTTTTAAGAAGCAATAAGAAAGTCATCCCAAATGATACCTTAAGTTTTATTTGGGATAGCTTTCTTAATAAATTTTAAAATTGATGCAAAGAAAGTAACTTTTTAAACTGTTGTTGAAATCAATTTTCAAGTAAACTCTTTTGTTTGAAAGTAACAAAATAATAATAATTAAATAGAAATTGTGATTGATATTTAAAAATAAGAGCTATCTTAAAGAAGCTTAAATTTTTTAGCACAAAATTTTGAACTAATAATATGAGATGCAAAAGCTTTTATATGGATTTTTTGTTCAATATTTTAAAAATGTATAATTTTTTATTATTTCAATATATCTTAGAGCTAATTAATTTTTTTTCCTTTTTTAAAGATTATTAATTTTAGATATTCAGAGATTTTAAATAAAGTGCTGTGCGCACTTATCGCAAATAATCTAATGAATTTAAAATTTATCAGAATAAAAAATTTAATCGAAATATTTGACATATTTCTTTTCCTTCAACTAAAACATGAGGCCATGGCGTCTGTTCGGAATATTTTTCAAATTTTTTTTTTTTTAATATGGATTTTTTTTAATGAAAAGTGCACGTGGATTCCTCATTAGAAAGAGAAAAGTTATGCTCAAATAATTAATGCTTATAAATATTTAATCTGGTAAATTAAATTAATTCATTTAAAAAATATACTTGAAATATCTTTTGTGTAATTTTTATTAAATGTAGCATTATGTATAATTTTAGTCTTTCTAGGGTGGTGGTGAATTTTAGGAAGATAAAACATTTTGTTGTTCTATTGACCAATGATTCATATTATGATCTTATATATACTAGCTCATGGTTTTTAGAGGGGTAAAAAAATGATCAGATCTAAACTTGTAACGGAAATTCAAATTAAAGTTGACTAGCTTTGATATATCATAAAAAACTTATCTTGATAAGTTCGAATCTCAAGGCAAAATTAAGTTGAAAGTTTCCAAAATTATATCAAGGACCATTCAAATTCTGATTTTAGCAAACTTATAGTCGAATTGAACGTCTCGAAAAGAAGAACCACACAACACCAAAATCAAACAAATTCGAGCTCAAATGAGCCCAAATCAAGGGTCCAAAGTGTATTTAGAGGTTTCAAAGCATAACTTGAATTACCAAATATATTGTAAACGTGACATGCTTATAGTTGATTCGAGTGGTTCGACGAGACAAATCCAACAAGCCGAAGATCACCAAATTTTGAAATCATTAAAACATTCAAATGACCAGTAAACAATCCATGATCAATGAGATCAACATCGGTCGTCCATTCGAACCACTCTCTTCTTGACCTTGATCATCCCCCTATTTACCAACCATGCCATTCTAAAAAAATTATAAATTGGCCCCCATTTCTTTACTCAAAGGGGGACAGAAGAGAGGAGGAAGAGAAGAAAAGAATTTGAGACCTGACTTGCAACAGACCATCATGCAAGGGTTCTCCTCGACCACCGCCGGGCTACCGCTTGTTCGTCGACCAACCCCGGACTTCGGCCCATTCGTTGACCACCATCGGACTTTTGCCCCATTCGTTGATTACCACCTGAGTTCTTCCCGACCACCGCCACACTTTCGCCTGTTCGTCGACTACTGCCAAATTTTCATCCATTTTGTCGACAAACATCGGAGTTTTTATCAACCACCACTGACTTTTCGCCTCTTTGTCGACCACCGCCAAATCTCTTCCCAAACACCACCGGACTTCCTCTCGTTCTTTGAGCACTATCGAATTTTTGTCCTTTCATCGACCACCGCTGAAGTCCTTCTCGATATCCATCGAACATTCGCTTGTTCATCAACCACTGACGGACCTCCACTCGTTCGTTGACCACAACCAAAGTTCGTCAGCCCATTCATAGACTACCGCCGGAGTTCTCCTAACCAACGTTGAATCTCCACTCTTTTGTCGACCACTGTCAGATTTCCTCCCGTTTGTCGACTAGCGCTGAAGATCTTTTGCATGTTCGTTGACCACCACTGGACTTCCGCCCATTTGTCAACCATCGTCGAAGTTCTTTCTCTTGTTCTTCAACCACCATCGGACTTTCGCCCGTTCGTCGACCACTGACAAAGTTATTTCGCATGTTTGTCGACCACTATTGGACTTCCTCCCATTCATCAACCACCGCCAAAGTTCTTTCACCTGTTTGTTAATCAACGCTGGAGTTCTTCCCAACCACTATTGATTATGGTCCTTCCGACCAAATGAACACGTTAATAGTGATGCTTCATATTTCTACCATGTAACACACTCTATATGATGTATATTTGTTACATCAAGCCAAAGCCTTCCCTCCAATTATGAAGGGCTTCATTTGTAATAAACTACAAATACTAGTGGATTCATTCAAATTGGGTTAGACCATGTGGTTTTTCCTCTTTTTAAAATTTTTCATGTAAAAATCTTGGTGTCTCTTATGAATGTTATACCATATCTCTTATCTGATTATGTGTTATATTTTTGTACGAAGCTAAGAAGTTAAACTTATATTTCTCTTCCGTTGCGAATATTCCAGGACGCAACAAGAAGATAAAACATTTTGTTGTTCAGTCTATTGACCAATGATTCATATTATGCTGTTATATATACTAAGGTCATGGTTTCTACGTAGGTAAAAAATGATCCGATCTAAAGACAAAAATTTAAGTTCAACTTGACTAGTTCATTTAATAAATGGGTCGGATTCGGATTAATAAGAAACTTTTTTTATCTGCAAATGACATGTTTATTTTTTTTTAATTCTTTGGTTTATTAGTATAATCTTATTATTTTTTGATCAATTTATCCGAATATATAGTTGATAAGTTGTAATTTTTTTAAATTAAAATAGATTATCAAGTCATGTTCAGATCATTTGGGTTACCAACATGTCAACTTCAATTCCATCATTTTCAACAGTTTATTAATTAAATGGGTTGGTTTTGGATTGACTTAATTAATCCAGAGCAAAACCGAACCTGTTAACTCATTTTGATGCTCATAATTTTATTCCCTCCTAAGAAGGTTGGTATTCTCGTTAAATTTTGATTCAAATAAATTTTACAATTGTTAAATTTATTTGAGATACATACAATATTGAAAAAAATTTAAATTTATATCATATTTAGCTGAAAAAAAATTTAATAATTTTAAAAATCAACTTGACTAAAAATTTTGATCAAAATATTCTAAGGGCTTTTACATTATAACCATTTTTTAGCCATTTTAATTTTGAATTTATTTTGGATAATTAAGATTAAGCCATTATTGTTTGTTCATTTTAAATTGCGGTCATCTGTTATAAATATATCTCTTTCAGCAATAAGTCAATAATAATGATAGAATGACGTTGTTTAATTTTTAAATTGGTAAATGATATGTGACAAAAAAAACCGTCTTAATTGAGCGCGAATTTTGAAGCATATTCCAGTTGCCATTTTAAAAATTAAATTCGAGACCATTTGATCTCCATTTTTAGCAAATTTATAGTTAAATTGAATGTATTATGAGACTAATCCAATGACGCCAAAATCGTTCCAATATGATCCCAAATGGGCTCAAATTAGGGGACCGAAGCATAATTGAAAGATTTAGTGTATTATTGGATTGTCCAAATGACATCCAAATAAAGCATGCTTATGGCCCAATCGAGCAGCTCGACGAGATAAATCCAGCAAGCCTAAGATCGCTTAATTCTGACATTTTAAGGCCCTTAAATGCTGAACAAATACTCCATAATCGAGGGAATTTATATGGATCGTTTGATGGATCACTTTAAATTTATTCTAGAATTTCTCAATATTTTAAGGAGAATGACACTCTAAAAAATCTATAAATAAACTCTATCTTCTCTTCACAGGTGAGTGGAGGTCTTAGACCTTTTGAAAGCTAGCTTGAACCTTAGGCTAGAGATCAAAAATGCTATGAGGCTTGAAGAATCCCGAAGTTCCACCCCGCAACACCACCACCGGCAAACTCGGGCCACTAAGGCATCGTTGTTGGACCTCTGCCCAACCATCGTCAACAAACCTCCATATGGTGGCCATCATCAGACCTTCGTCTAACAAATGTCTCTTGCCAACTACAACTCCTTTGACTTCTATCACCGGACTACGATCCTTCCGACAACCGTCACCCAACTACGGTACCTCCATCACTTGCCGACTAAAATCTCTCAGGCCTATGTCACCCAAATAGAATCCCTACAAACTAAATGAACTGGCCAACACTCTTTTGAGAATGTCTCTCATGACATTGGATTCATCCATCCCCAATTATGTCACTACAAAATCGCCCAGTATCGACAAAATTTTCGGCACTGGATTTTCCAGTGGCTTTCAAACGGATAAAGATGAAATAATTCTGACATAATTTTAGGAAAATTTTTTGGAGGATTTATGGTAGCTTTCCGGTGGATTTATTTCCTACAAATTTTCCGACAGATTTTAATAATTTCTAAAAAGGATTATATATTTGTAAATTCATTAATAAATAATTTTATAGTCTATTTTAATTCATTATTAATTTAATAACTGTAAGAGAATTTTAAATAATTAAAATTCAGTTATTAAAGTAATAATTAATTTAATTATTTATTAATAACTTAAACTTATTGTTGTATTAATAACTTTAATATTAATATTAATAATTTAAATTAGTATCCTATTAATAACTTTAATATTAATATTATTAGTAATAAGCTTTAACTTGCTTATTAGTAATTTTAAGTTATTATTTTATT